TCTGGATCTGGCTGCTGAGGTCCTTGGCGCTGCTCCAGCAGCCACGAGACCTTGTTCTGCAGGGCTGGGGGCAGAGCGCAGGGAATGCGGGGTGCGAATGGGGAGCGCAGAGCCCATCCCTGGGGCTGGGATGCCACAGGGACCTCCCCAGCTCACCCCCGTCCTGCTGGAAGCTGAGGCGGGGAGGTGAGGCAGGGGCAATGGGGTGGAAGAGCGAGCCCAGGGCACCTGGGCTGTGCTCAGCACCCTTCTCCTGCCCAAAGCTGCCCTGAGCATCCTCAACCCATGGGAAAAGAGCTTGGATGATCCCAAGGGAGGGTTTGGCTGGAAGGGGGGTCCCTGAGGGCGCATCTCCAGGTACGGACACAAACCCAGGCAGAAGAGGGAAATGGGGTGGGAAACCAGGATGGGAAAGAGGGAAGCTGGGCAGCAGCACTTTCAGTTCAGCTTTTCCCTCTGGCTTCAGATTCACTTTCTCCTGTTTATCCGGAACAAGGACCAGGAACAACCCAAACGCCAGGGCCAGGCTGAGCCGAGCTTAGGCAACCCCGGGATGGGGCTGGTGCTGTGCTGCTTCTAGGTGGGGATGGGATGGGGATGGGATGGGGATGGGATGGGGATGGGATAGGATGGGGATGGGGTGGGATGGGTGGGGATGGGATGGGGGGATGGGATGGGGATGGGGTGGGATGGGGATGGGGATGGGATGGGGATGGGATGGGGATGGGGATGGGGATGGGGATGGGGATGGGATGGGGATGGGGATGGGATGGGGATGGGGTGGGATGGGATGGGGATGGGATGGGGATGGGATGGGGGATGGGGTGGGATGGGATGGGGAGGGATGGGGATGGGGATGGGGTGGGATGGGGATGGGATGAGGGTGGGGTGGGGATGGGATGGGGATGGGATGGGATGGGGTGGGATGGGATGGGGATGGGATGGGGATGGGGATGGGATGGGGTGGGATGGGATGGGGATGGGATGGGGATGGGGTGGGATGGGGATGGGGTGGGGATGGGATGGGGATGGGGATGGGATGGGGATGGGGATGGGATGGGGATGGGGATGGGATGGGGGTGGGGTGGGGATGGGATGGGGATGGGGATGGGGATGGGGATGGGGTGGGATGGGATGGGGATGGGATGGGGATGGGGATGGGATGGGGGTGGGGTGGGGATGGGATGGGGATGGGGTGGGATGGGGATGGGATGGGGTGGGGTGGGGATGGGATGGGGATGGGATGGGGATGGGATAGGATGGGATGGGATGGGATGGGATGGGGATGGCGGTGGATGGGATGGGGATGGGGATGGGGATGGGGGATGGGGATGGGGATGGGATGGGGATGGGGATGGGGATGGGATGGGGATGGGGTGGGATGGGGATAGGGATGGGATGGGGATGGGATGGGGGTGGGGTGGGGATGGGATGGGGGTGGGGTGGGGATGGGATGGGGGTGGGGTGGGGATGGGATGGGGATGGGATGGGGATGGGATAGGATGGGATGGGATGGGGATGGGATGGGGATGGGGTGGGATGGGGATGGGGTGGGGATGGGATCACCCTGGCTCACCCTCAAGCTGCTGCTCATAGCAATGGGCAGGGTCAGGGTCCTCCTCAGGGGGCACCTCCTCGAGCAGAACTTCAGGGGCTGCTTGGGCCAGGCTCAGCCTCTTCAGCTGCTTGTTCTCCTGCTTCACCTGGGGTGGGATCATGGAGCCATGGAAGGCTTTGGGTTGGAAGGGGCCTTAAATCCCACCCAGCTCCAACCCCTGCCACGGGCAGGGACCCCTTCCACTGGAGCAGCTTGCTCCAAGCCCCTGTGTCCAACCTGGCCTTGAGCACTGCCAGGGATGGGGCAGCCACAGCTTCAACCCCTTCCCATGTCCCACCACCCTCACAGGGAAGAACTTCCTTGCATCCCATCCAACTCTTCCCTCTTCCAGCTGGAAGCCCTCATCCCATCCCTGCCTCCCCTTGTCCCAAGCCCCTCTCCAGCTTTCCTGCAGCCCCTTCAGGCACTGGAGCTGCTCTCAGGTCTCCCCTTCAGGAGCCTTCTCTTGTCCAGGCTGCCCCAGCCCAGCTCTCCCAGCCTGGCTCCAGAGCAGAGCTGCTCCAGCCCTCGCAGCAGCATCCAGGTGGGTGCTGCCCTGGGTGCTGTGGGGATGCAGCCGCAGCCTCGCACCCCCAGGCTGCTGCAGGGTGACCCTGGCAGGGTGCTGGAGCCCAGCCCCACCTGCGCCGCGTAGGTCTCGGCTCGCTCCCGACACGTCCGCTCGATCTCAAACTCGGTCTCCAGCGCCGAGAGCTCGGCCAGCAGCGCCTGGGATGCTGCAGGGGCGCGGGATGGATGCAGGCACCACCTCAGGTCCCCACTGCACCCTCCCACCGGCTCCATCAGCACCGGCTCCAGGGAGGGCTGAGGTCGCCCCAAGGCACAGGACCGGGGCAGGATGCGGCGCTGCTGGGACGGGGCTCACCTTGCTCCAGCTCAGCCAGGCGCTGCTCAGCTTCACCCAGCTCCTGGCCATGGCGGGGATGCTGTGGGGGGAAAACACACCTGGAGTTCCATTGGCACGGCACTGCCTTGGCATGGCTTTGTGTTGGGATGGCATTGCACTGGCATTGCAGTGGAACAGCACCAGCTTGGGATGGCACTGCATTGGCACAGCACTGTGCTGGGATGGCATTGCATTGGCATGGCATTGCATTGGCACAGCACTGTGTTGGGATGGTGTTCCATTGGCATGGCATTGCATTGGCGCAGCACTGTGGATGGCATTCCATTGGCATGGCATTGCATTGGCATGGCATTGTGGATGACATTCCATTGGCATGGCATTGCATTGGCACAGCACTGTGCTGGGATGGCATTGCATTGGCATGGCATTGAATTGGCTCAATAATCCATTGGCACAGCATTGCATTGGCACAGCATTGTGTTGGGATGGCATTCCATTGGCATGGCACTGCCTTGGGATGGCTTTGTGTTGGCACAGCGTTGTGTTGGGATAGCATTGCACTGGCATTGCAGTGGAACAGCACCAGCTTGGGATGGCACTGCATTGGCACAGCACTGTGCTGGGATGGCATTCCATTGGCACGGCATTGCATTGGCACAGCATTGTGTTGGGATGGCATTCCATTGGCATGGCATTGCATTGGGATGGCATTGTGTTGGCACAGCGTTGTGTTGGGATGGCATTCCATTGCCATGGCATTGCATTGGCACAGCACTGTGGATGGCATTCCATTGGCTCAGCATTCCATTGGCATGGCATTGCATTGGCACAGCACTGTGCTGGGATGGCATTGAGTTGGGCCAGCATCCTGTTGCATGGCATTGGCTTGGGATGGTATTCCAATGGCACGGCATTATGTCGGCCTGGCACTGCTTTGGCACAGCATTGTCTTGGTGTGGAATTGTTTTGGCATGGAATTGCATTAGCAGAGCACTGTGTTGGTGGGGTGTTGCATAGGTGTTGTGTTGGCATTCTGCTGGGATGGCATCCCATTAGCATGGCATTGCACTGGCATCCCATTAGCATGGCATTGTGTTAGCATGGCATCCCATTAGCATGGCATTGCACTGGCATCCCATTAGCATGGCATCCCATTAGCATGGCATTGCACTGGCATTCCATTAGCATGGCATCGCCTTGGCACTGCACTGGCACAGCGTTCCCCTGGCATTCCATTGGCTCCGGGCTCCCTGCTCGCACCCAGCCCTGAGCCACCGGATGCTGCCGCGCTGGCACAGAGCCGGGGCTGGACCCCCACTGTATCCCTATGGGAAGCTGGGAGCGGTACCTGCACCACGGCTGCCTCTTCCTCTTCCTCCTCCTCCTCTTCCTCCTCCTCCTCGCTGCTGCCCGACTCCAGGATGGCTGCAGAGGAACCAGAGGCACCAGGAGGTCCCCAGCATAGGAGGAACCCCGGGAGGTGCCTGAGCCCTTTGCTCTCCTCACCCTGCTCTATGAGCAGAGGGGCTGAGCCCCCCTTGCCCCATGAGCTGGTGATGCCCCCGCTGCCAACATCCCTGCCAGGTGCTGGGAAAGCCATCCCTGAGCATCCTGCTGGTGAGGCCAAGAGGCGCCTGGATGGGCTTGGCTGATGGGGGACACGGGGGGACACTGGGACAGCCCCCAGCATCACCGAGCTTCCCCTCACTGAAGCAGCCCCATGGCACTGGGGTGAATGGTTTGGGGGGGAGACCCCACTGAGGAGCACATCCCCATGGGACCATCGCTGGGTGGTGCCCAGTGGTGGGGACTGGGATGCTCCATGGCTGCATGCGGGTCCCTTGTCCCCTAGTGCTCCGGCATCCCCCTTGGTGAGGCAGGAATCCAGCCCCTGCCACCGACCCTTCCCATAACAGCTGGAATCTGGCAGGGAATTCCCTCTGGAATCTAAATCCCCCCCAGTTTGTAACCCAGGCACCGGCTGCTGGGACCTTGCAATGCTGGCATGGGCTGGGGGGTCCCCATGGCACCCACCGGGCACCAGGAGCCCTCACTGGGAGCTGCACAGGGACCCCAGTGCCAACTGTGGGGCTTGGATGTGCAAACGCTGCTCCCCAGGGCCTTGGCTCTTGTGAGATGAAGTTGTTTTGAGCATGAAAACACCCTAAAGAGGAGCTGGGATGGGCACTGAGCAGCACAGGGAGGGATGGAGGGATGCATGCATGCATGGATGCATGGATGGATGGATGGATAGATGGATGCATGGATGGATGGATGGATAGATGGGTGGATGGAGGGATGGATAGATGGGTGGATGGAGGGATGGATAGATGGGTGGATGGAGGGATGGATGGAGGGATGGATGAATGGATGCATGGATGGATGGAGGGATGGATGGGTGGATGGATGGGTGGATGGATGGAGGGATGGATGGAGGGATGCATGGATGGATGGATGGATGGATGGATAGATGGGTGGATGGATGGATGGATGGATGGATGGATGGATGGATGGATGATGGATGGATGGATGGATGATGGATGGATGCATGGATGGATGCATGGATGGATGGATGGATGGATGGATGGATGGATGATGGATGGATGGATGATGGATGGATGCATGGATGGATGGATGGATAGATGGATGGATGGATGGGTGGATGGAGGGGTGGATGGAGGGGTGGATGGAGGGATGGATGGCAGGATGGATACATGCAAGAGGGGATGGACAAAGGCACATCACACATGGGAGCTGCCAGTCCACCTAAATACAACCCCCTGGTCCTTCACCCCCCTGCAATGGAGCTGAGCAGAGGAACAACCCCCCCCTTCCCCCAAGCCCAGTTCAGGGCTGGTTTCACCCTTTGCAAAGGATCCGTGAGCCCAGAGGCCACGGTGACGGTCGCAGCCAGAACCACCCCACCATGGGCTGCCCGACCCGTGCGTGAGCCCATCGCATCCTTCAGCGCAGGGAAGGGACCTCACCTGTGAGCTGCCCCGTGCCTTCTGCAGCCCAGGCCATGGCGTGGGGCCGGTGGGAGCCAGCACCCTGGAGCGCAGCTGGGACCTGGGGCAGGGAAGTGAAACCCCGATGTCACCAGTGACGATGGGGGCTGAGCCCCAGCTCCGGGCAGGACTGGTCCTGCCCCGGCCGCAAGGCAGGCTCAGGGGGAACTGAAACCCCTCGTGCTCCAGCTATGAGCTGCTTTGAGCATGAGGGTGCTGAGGCTGCTGCTGCAGGAACTCAGCAGCAAGCACCCCCCTGGTCACCATCGACGAGAGCTGGGGTTGGAGGAGCTGCTGCGAGGGCTGGAGCAGCTCTGCTCTGAGCCAGGCTGAGAGAGCTGGGCTGGGGCAGCCTGGACAAGAGAAGGCTCCTGAAGGGGAGACCTGAGAGCAGCTCCAGTGCCTGAAGGGGCTGCAGGAAAGCTGGAGAGGGGCTTGGGACAAGGGATGCAGGGATGGGATGAGGAGTTTGGGCTTCCAAGTAGAAGAGGGAAGAGTTGGATGGGATACAAGGAAGTTCTCCCCTCTGAGGGCGGTGGGACATGGGAAGGGGTTGAAGCTGTGGCTGCCCCATCCCTGGCAGTGCTCAAGGCCAGGTTGGACACAGGGGCTTGGAGCAAGCTGCTCCAGTGGAAGTTGTCCCTGCCCGTGGCAGGGCTTGGAGCTGGATGGGATTTAAGGCCCCTTTAACCCAACCCATTCCATGATTCCACGGCCCCATCTGGCGCCATTGGAAATGTCACCCCCCAGCTCTGTCACTCATGGGGCTGCAGCCTCCAAACACCCAGGAAAATCAATGGGCTCCGTTCCCGTGGGATGGGGATGAGGCTGCTCCGGAGCCTCTGCAGGCAGAGATGCTTGGGGGGCAGCTCTGCATTAACGCTCACCTTGTAAGTGCTCCATCAAAGGAGTAATCCCAGCTCCTGTATAAGGCAGAGCTCCTCGCACACCCTTCACAGGTGGGCTCTGGAGCATCCTTGGCCCAGCCCTGGGAATAACGAGAGATTCCAATGTTATCCACCACATCTCCCGGGATTCCCGGGGTTTAGGGTGGGGAACGAGGTGCTTTGAGCAAATCCAGCCCCAAACCTCCCATCTTAAGGCAGGAGACGAGCGTGGTCCTCACAGCCCCCACGGCCTCACCTTCTCCCCTTGCAACCACAGGGGGGGTTTTCCTCATCCCCTCCTTTCAATACTCACAGGGTTCCAGCTTCAGCCGTCCCTTGGGTTTCCCTCCCATCACGCAGGGAACGGGATTTACCTGGATGTGGCTCCGCTCCAGGAAACGGGTGTCCATAACAGCTCCCACACCCCGTGGCCACAAGCCGTAGCCATGGAAAACGGGATTTGGCAGCTGGAAAAGCACAGTGATCCGTGCTGGCTAAGGCCGTGGCAACAGGGATCAAAGAGACTCCATCAGAGGGGCGTTAAAGCTGCTCATCTTCCCCCCGTGCATCCTCAGCACTGCCTGAGCAGCCCTGGAGCTCTGCATCCCGCAGGAAGCGCCCTGCTCCCGAGTTTGCCATGGCTCCTGCAGGATGCTCAGAGAGCAGGAACCAAGCTTCATCCCCAGCCCAAGGCTCCTCCTCTGCTCCCAGCAGTGGCTCTGGGCTCTCCCCAGCCCTGCTCCATCTGCCTGCGCCCGAGGCGATGGAAACTGTGAAGCGCAGCTTGGAGGGGAGCTGTGAACACACAGCCAGGAGCATCCCTGCAGCCATCCCCTCCTCCGGGCTGGAAACATCACCTTACAGCTTCAGTAGGATCAGGGAATCAGGGCATGGATAAGGAAGGGACCTTAAAGCTCCTCCAGCCCCAACCCCTGCCACAGGCAGGGACCCCTTCCACTGGAGCAGCTTGCTCCAAGCCCCTGTGTCCAACCTGGCCCTGAGCACTGCCAGGGATGGAGCATTCCCAACCTCAGCACCCTCACAGGGAAGGCACTCCCAAGATCGAGGAACGCTCAACCCTGTCCCTCAGGGAAGGGACAAAAGCATCGGGCTCACCCCACTGCCGGCCCAGGCAGCGGGGAGCCGGGGCAGGGAACAGGGGACATTCCCTGCATCCCCCATGTGTGCCCTGGGAGCAAAACTACAGCCCCAGCGCTGCGAGCAGCTGGCCCAGGAGCTGCTCCTCAGCTCGGCTTTGCTTCCAGTGCTTCTGCCTTCGCTTCTCCGAGCCCCCAACAAGAGCTCTGTGGGGAAGCTACCTGCATCCCGCCCGCCTGCATCCCCTCAGGGGCACCTCCGGGTCCCCTCAACACCTCTCCTCTCCTCTCTGGGGTTCTCTAACCCCATAAAGCCCAGGAGCAATGAATGCAGAGGGTGATGCCCTTGTGTGATGGAGCCCAGCCCCTGCGAGCTGCAGGGATGCTGCCGCAGCAGCCGCTGGGAAGAACTTCAGCCATAGCCGTTATTAGAGGAGCAGCTCTCAAACAAACCCCATCCTCTCAGCTCACCATGAGCACACCCAGCCAGGGGCAGGGGGGCTCTGCCTCACCTTTGCCATCAGCCAAAACTGGCCACAATGAGCCGTGGTCCTAAGGAATTCCTCAAGAAGCCTTCCCAAGCCATGAAAGAGGAGCAGCACCAAGCCCTGCCTGCTGGGTACCACAGGGACATCAAGCCTGGCGCAGGCTGGAGGTGAAACCATGGAAAAAGGGGGGTTTATAAGGAACAAAGAGCAAAGCTTCACCTCCTTCTCACTGTGATCATCCGGATCTTCCCCCCTTTTGGAAAGGGGGAGGCCTGGGATGTGCAGCAGCACCGGGAATGCCGAGGGATGACACCCACGGGAAGCTGCAGGAACTCACTCCGTGTCTTGCTCCCCATGGAGAGCATCACCCTCCATGAAACACACTCCCAGGGCCAGAGAGAGGAGAGGAGCGGCTGTTTCCAGCACCACAATCACCCAAGGCACCAGGTTGAGAGCTTCAGGTCACCCCCCCACAGCCACAGAGCGCTGGGGGGGACGGGACACACCAGCATCCTCATTCCCAGTGGGAATCCGTGGGGAGCTGGACACTTGGCTCGCTTTATTCTCTCTTTAATGAATGGCTCTGTGTAAACCTCAGTTCAACGGCGAGCACGTCCTGCTGCCAAACCACCCCACGTGCCAGCTCCTGCTTGTAGAGCCCTGCGAGGTGGGCAGTGCCAGGGAGGGGAGCTTGGACCCTCCTTGTGCTCAGCTGGAACCAAGCATCCTCCTTGCACGCAGTCCTGGAGCTGGATGGAACCCTCCCTCTGCATCCGGTCCCTGCAGTCAGTGCCCGGTGCCAGCGTTCCCAGCAGCTCTTCCCAGGAAAATCCCGCTGGGATACACTAAGGAGGGATGGAGTGAGAGGCCTGGGGTCAGTGCTGCTGCCCCACAGCCCCCTGCACAGTCTGGGGCTGCCCCGCTCCCTCAGGGCAGCATCCCTGCTCAGTAGATCTTCTGTCGGCTGGGCAGGATGGCCTCCTTGATGAAAGAGAAGATGAGGAGGATCCCAGAGCGCTTCCCCCTCTTCCCCTTGGTGAAGTAGTTGGAGACCACGTCGTCTGTGGAGATAAAGGGGAGCAAAATCAACCACCAAACAGCACCCTGGGATGGGGGTGGTTTCAGGGCCTGAAATGCATGATCTGCCTTCAAAGTACGGGAGCTGCTCCTTTGATCCCATCTGGCTTCCTTTAAAACATGGAAGTTACTGGTTTGATCCCATTTGGCTGTCCTTAAAGCATGGAAGTTGCTGGTTTGTTCCCATCCAGCTGCCCTTAAAGCATGGAAGTTACTGGTTTGATCCCATTTGGCTGCCCTTAAAGCATGGAAGTTGCTGGTTTGTTCCCATCCAGCTGCCCTTAAAGCATGGAAGTTACTGGTTTGATCCCATTTCATTTGGCTGCCTTAAATCATGGAAGTTACTGGTTTGATCCCATTTGGCTGCCCTTAAAGCATGGAAGTTACTGGTTTGATCCCATTTGGCTGCATTTAAAGCATGGAAGTTACTGGTTTGATCCCATTTGGCTGCCCTTAAAGCATGGAAGTTACTGGTTTGATCCCATTTGGCTGCATTTAAAGCATGGAAGTTGCTGGTTTGTTCCCATCCAGCTGCCCTTAAAGCATGGAAGTGACTGGTTTGCTTTCATCTGGCTGCATTTAAAGCATGGAAGCTGCTGGTTTGCTTTCATCTGGCTGCATTTAAAGCATGGAAGCTGCTGGTTTGCTTCCATCTGGCTGCATTTAAAGCATGGAAGTTTCTGGTTTGCCTCCACCTACCCTACCTGACGCTCCCATACGCCACTGACAGGGAGCCCAAATCCTGAGCTCCCTGTTTTGAGCTGCAGGGAGAGTCCACAGAAAGCAACAGGAGAGATGCAGGATGGGGAGCAGGAAGAACCCCTCATTCTGCTCACTCACCCCTCACCCTTTTCCCTGCCTTGGCTTTGGAAGGGTTTACCCCACCTGCTGCAGCCTGCCCCTGCTCCACGCTGCAGGAATGGGGTGTGCACTGGGCTGTGCTGAGCCCAGAGCCCTGAGGAAGGCCATCACTCACCTCCAGGCTGCACTGTGGAGGGCAGGACGTTCTCCCCAGCCGACAAGGAGACGAAGAAAGCAAAAGGGATTAACCAGAGGCAGAAGGTGAAGTAGGCAAGAACCTGCAGGCAGAGACACAGGCAGTGAGAGCAGAGCCACAGCGCAGGCAGCACATCCCAGCTGCTGCCCCAGCCCATGGGGTACCCCAAGTGTCTCCCTGAACCCCCCCAGGAGATAAAGGGTTCTGAAGGGGCAGAACTGCACCTCAACCTCTCCCAAGCCTCAGGTGCTGAGATAGTGTCCCACAGTGGAGCTGGGACGGGGAGAAACAGCATCCAGGAGCATCCATGGAAGGATGCAGGAGAAGCCTCCACTGCTCCCAACAATTCCCAACGAGAATGAAGGAAGCAGGATGTTGGCTGGGCTGCTCTGAGCCAGGAAATCCCCTTCACGCTCCCAGGGGGTAAAAGGAAGAGGCAAGACCTGGGATTGCTCCTCCTGGCCCAGGAAGGGCCACTGGGGTTTGGGGAGAGCAGAGCTGCTGCATCAGCCTCTCTGTGCCCCCAAACGCTGGTTAAACTGCATAAAAACCTGGGGGGTCCTCACTTTGGTGCAGATTTTCTCTTTGGTTCTTAGAATCTGCACTAAGTGGCAGCTGTTTTGGGGCCAGACAAGCCCCTTTGGTGAGCCTGGACCTTCACATGAAGATGGTGACAGAGTTAGCGCATCAGGGAGATAAAAATAGCGAGTGGCAATTCCAGAAGGGAAGGGATTTGTGGTCAGGACATTTAAAATGATCTCGTTTTCCACTGTCCTGGGGTTTAGCACATCACAACAGCGCAGTCTGTGCTTTGCACCCAGTGCTTTTCATGCCTTTGAGTGGCTGAGGAAGCCCCAAGCCCCATCCTGGAGCAGAAGCTGCAGCTCCCGTGCTGAGGGCACAGGAGCCCCGAGGGAAGGGCTGTGAGAAGCATCCTGAGCACAAGGGCATGTCCCAGCCTCCAGCAGCTCCACTGGGCAGGGAGAGCAGGGACTGACTCCTTCCCAAAGGCCTCTCACCTCAGAGAACAGGTAATACTCCTCAGCGAAGTACTGGAAGGCCAGGTAGTGATTGAATATAACCAGCCCTGCAAAGGAGAGAGCAGAAACAGCTCAGCCCAAAGGTGCTGCAGGAGGAGGGAGCAGCTCCTGCTGGGAGCTCAGCCCCTCGCACCCGCATCCTGCTGCTGCTGCTGCTGCTGCTAAAAGACTTTCACAGCTCTGGCTGTGAGCAGCACGAGCCCCATCCCTCAGCTCAGCCCCAGATCCCTTGTCCCGGTGGTGCTTTACTCGCCCTGGCCCAGGGGAGCCCAGCCTCACACTTGCTAATGCTGCCCAGAGCTGAGAGAAGCACAGAGCCCACACTCACACCCCGGGGGGGGGTCAGCAGCTGCTGCAGGGAGCAGCTCCTCCGCCTCTGCCATGTGTAAAGCAAGTGAAGCTGAAACGCGGGCAGGACACGAGGGTTAGCGCTGGCCCCCGCACTGGAAACACCACTGAGCTCTTAAGAGGCAGGGACTGGAGCTGCTTTTGCCTTTCAGCCAAGCCAAGAAGACCCCAGCTCCAGCCCAGGAGCCCCAGGGCAGGCAGGAGGCAGTGTCCCACGTGGATTTATCCTCTCTTCATCCCCACCAGATCCAGACCCACTCCGGCTCCAGAAAACACAGCCCTGCTCTCTACCCCATGGGAGAACAAAGTGTCCAGGGGGGACACAGGGGCTTGGAGCAAGCTGCTCTAGTGGAAGGGGTCCCTGCCTCCCTTGGAGGGGCACTAAGCTCCCTTCCAACCCAAACCATTCCCTGGCTCCATGCTGATCCTGCCTACACGAGTGCTCGGAGCAGCAAAGGCGCTCGAGCTGCACGCAGACACGCTCTGAAACCTGCATTAGGGCTCTTGGGAGTCACTGCCTGGATGCCACCTGAGGTGTCACTGCCCAGCACCCGGAGCAGGGGTGAGGGCACATCCATGCCCAGCACAGAACACGCAGGAGGCTCCGCAGCTCGCAGGGGCAGCTCCAAAGCAGGTTCAGTGGCAGAGCTGCTGGTGCTGCGGCCCACATCTGCTTTGGGGTCAGGCTGGGACACGGCTCTGCCTGCTCATCAGCTCAGCACAGCAGGCAACCATGGAATGCTTTGTGTCAAAGGGGCCTTAAAGCTCCTCCAGCCCCAAGCCCTGCCATGGGGACCCCTTCCACTGGAGCAGCTTGCTCCAAGCCCCTGTGTCCAACCTGGCCTCGAGCACTGCCAGGGATGGGGCAGCCACAGCTTCAACCCCTTCCCATGTCCCACCGCCCTCATAGGGGAGAACTTCCTTGTATCCCACCCAGCTCTTCTCTCTTCCACTTGGAAGCCCAAACTCCTCTTCCCATCCCTGCATCCCTTGTCCCAAGCCCCTCTCCAGCTCTCCTGCAGCCCCTTTAGGCCCTGGAGCTGCTTTAAGGGCTCCTCAGGGCTGCTCCACCCCAGCCTGGGTTAGCGCTGGGGCAGGACCTTGCCCTTGGCCTGGCTGAGCTCCACGAGGCTCCCACGTGAACCCATGGACGTGTCAGAAAGCGATTTTCCTCAGGAATGATGGGCTTTTGTGTCAGAGCTTTCCCTGCTCCAACCAGGAGCTCCCCCTGACGGCAGAACCCTCCCAGCCCTCCGTGCCCCCAGCCTGCGCTCACACCCCGGGTAAGGACTCACGGGTCTTTCGGGGGGCTCCAACCCCTCCTGCCCTTTGGCCACTGAGCACCCAGAGCAGCTCTGCAGGGAGCACACGGGGCTCTCATTCCCACAGCACTGCTCCAGGAGTCTGGAGCACAACCAGAGCTGGGAAACTCCAGTTTCCACCCCCCGCCCAGCCCCACTTATCACAGCCCCACCATAAACCACAAGGACAAAGCCCTGGACAAAGCTCAAAGTCCTTTGGGATGGCACGGAGGCTGCAGGAGCAAAAGGCAAACCTCTGCTGCCACCCAGAGCCCACCCGGGGATGGGGTGACAGCGGCACCCATGGGGAGGTGACAGCGGCACCCATGGGAAGGTGAGAGTGGCACCCATGGGGAGATGACAGTGTCAGCCACAGGAAGGTGACAGTGGCACCCATGGGGAGGTGAGAGTGGCACCCATGGAGAGGTGACAGTGGCACCCATGGGGAGGTGAGGGTCACCCATGGGGAGGTGACAGTGGCACCCATGGGGAGATGACAGTGGCACCCATGGGGAGGTGACAGTGTCAGCCACAGGAAGGTGACAGTGGCACCCATGGGGAGGTGACGGTGGCACCCACGGGGAGGTGACGGTGTCAGCCACGGGAAGGTGACAGCGGCACCCATGGGAAGGTGACAGCGGCACCCACGGGAAGGTGACAGTGGCACCCACGGGGAGGTGACAGTGGCACCCATGGGGAGGTGACAGTGGCACCCATGGGAAGGTGACAGCGGCACCCATGGGAAGGTGACAGTGCTACCCACGGGGAGGTGACAGTGGCACCCATGGGAAGGTGACAGTGGCACCCATGGGGAGGTGACAGTGGCACCCATGGGGAGGTGACAGTGTCAGACATGGGGAGGTGACAGTGGCACCCATGGGGAGATGACAGTGGCACTCATGGGGAGATGACAGTGGCACCCAGGGGGAGGTGACAGTGCTACCCAGGGGGAGGTGACAGTGGCACCCACGGCGAGGTGACAGTGTCAGCCATGGGGAGGTGACAGTGGCACCCATGGGAAGGTGACAGTGGCACCCATGGGAAGGTGACAGTGGCACCCATGGGGAGGTGACAGCCCCACTCACCACAGGACAGGATGAAGTTGGAGGAGGTGAGCACGATGAAGGGGAAGGTCTGCAGCAGCCCAAAGTAGACGAGGTTGGTGAAGAGCCCCACTCCAACCATGAAGCCAGGGAACTGTTCGAAGAGGTAGAGCCCCACCAGCACGGCCGAGGAGAACTGGGGGAGAAAGTGGGGTGAACACGGGGGTTAACATGGGGTGAACTGGGGGGTTAACATGGGGGTGGGACATCTGTGGACATGGGGTGGACATGGGGGGGAACACTGGGTGAACATGGGGGTGGACATCGGTGGACATGGGGGTGGACATGGGGGGGAGCATTGGGTGAACATAGGCTGACCATGGGGGTTAACATAGGGTGAACATGGGGGTGGACATCGGTGGACATGGGGGTGAACATAGGGTGACCATGGGGGTTAACACAGGGTGACCATGGGGGTGAACATGGAAGGGAACCCGGGGGGGGGGAACCCGGGGTGGAACATGGGGTGAACACAGTGAACACGGGGGTGAACACGGGGGTGAACACGGGGGGGACCACGGGGGGGACCACGGGGGTGAACACAGTGAACAGGGGGGTGAACATGAGGATGAACATGGGGTGAACATGGGGTGAACACAGGGGTGACCACGGGGGTGAACATGAGGATGAACATGGGGTGAACAGGGGTGAACACAGGGGTGAACACTGGGGTGAACATGAGGATGAACATGAGGATGAACATGGGGTGAACATGGGGGTGAACACAGGGGTGAACACACTGAACACAGGGGTGAACACAGTGAACACAGGGGTGAACACAGGGGTGAACATGAGGATGAACATGGGGGTGACCACGGGGGTGACCACGGAGGTGATCACGGGGTGAAGGCAGCAGCACAGGCAGGAACCCTGCCATGCTCAAGGTGGCTTTAGTGCTGACAGCACCACACCAAGCCATGCACCTCCCGCTCAGCACCAGCCCCTCGGGAAGGATCCGAATGGAACCCCCCAGCCGCGCTGGGCCAGGGAAGCGCTTCCCGAGTGCTCCCCATGCTGTGGGTGCTGTGCCAGCTCCCCGGGGTGACGGCGGTGACCATGTGTATGTGTGTGTGTGCACGCAGGGACTTACCCAGATCATGTACTTGATGATCCTCTTGGTGACAACCGTGTACTCCTCGATCAGCTCCGCCAGGTAGTAGAGCCCGGCCGCTGCGGAGGGAGGTGGGGATGAGCGGGGACACAGGAGGGAGCGCGGCACATGCGGCTGCTGGCTTCAGCCTAAGAGCCTGAGGGCAGGGGGGACCCGAATATCTGGGGCAGCCGCAGGACATCGGAGACACCGATGGGACCCCCAGACTCAGGGGCTCTCGGAGGTCTCAGGGGCACTCAAGGAGCCCCCAGTTTCTGGGGTCCCCAAGGGGTAACAGAGGCACCCAGAGGACCCCAATGTCGGGGGCACCCTCGGGACATTAACAGCAGCAACAGGACCCCCACTGGCAGAGGCCTTCAGGGCACCCCCAACCTCCGAACCACCCAAGGGATCCCCAGTCTCAGGCACCCTCTGAGCTCCTGGGGGCACCCAGAGGTCCCCCCAACCCCCGGAGCACCCAGAGGCCCCCCCCAACCCCCGGAGCACCCAGAGGCCCCCCCAACCCCCAGAGGCCCCCCAACCCCCAGAGGCACCCCAACCCCCGGAGCACCCAGAGCCCCCCCCCAACCCCCGGAGCACCCAGAGGCCCCCACAACCCCCAGAGCACCCAGAGGACCCCAACCCCCAGAGGCCCACCCAACCCCCAGAGCACCCAGAGGCCCCCCCAACCCCCGGAGCACCCCGAGGGTGCTGGAGGCACCCAGGGGACCCCAAAGTCAGGAGCTGAGGCCTGGGGGGGCAACCACGAGACCCCCAACCTCAGGCCCTCTCTGAGGCCCCGGGGGCACCCATGGGACCCCAACCTCGAGGGGGGGGAGGTCTCTGTGGGCACCCATGGGACCCCCAACCTCCAGGGCACCCCCTCATCCCCCCGTCATATCGCGATAGCCCGCGGGAGGAGGCTGCGGCCTCACCGATAGCCAGGGTGACGAAGGCCACCTGTATGAGCAGGGAGAGCCAGCTCAGCGCGTACATGAACCACATGGCGGGGCCGGGGCCTGGGCCGGGGTCTGGGCCTGGGCCTGGGCCGGGGCCTGGGCCGGGACCGGGACCGGAACCGGAGCCGCCGCTCCCGCTCCGGGCCCGCTTCTGCTCCCGCTCCGGCGCTGACCACGCGGCGCCGGAACAAGCGAGATCACCCGAGCCTGCGCGGCCCGGCCGCTGCACGGCGCCACAGCGCCCCCTGCTGGCGCGGAGGGATTCTGCGGGGAGTGGGGGGGGGGACACGACCCCGAGACCCCTAAAAGGGCAGAGGGATCCTGGAATGGGGGGGATGGAAACACCCGCGAGCAGTGTGGGACCCCCGAAATCGTATGGGGCCCACAAACGTTATGGGACAGCCGCAAACGGCGCACGGACCCCCAAACCGCGCGGGGACCCCCCCAAAATGCCATACAGGAACCTCCCAAATCACACAGGGACACCCCGACTGCACACGGACCCCCAAACACACATGGGGACCCCAATGAAACAGTTCAGAGAGCCCCTGAAGCCATACAAAGACACCCCCCCCCCCCAAAACTTACAGGGACCCCAACTACATAGGGACCCCCCCCCCTACCATACAGGGACACCTCAAAACTATTCAGGGACCCAAAACCATAAAAAGACGGCCCAAGCCTTAAGGGACCCCCAAATCTCTGTAATGACCCCCCCCAACCTGTGTAGGGACCCCCTGCACCCATATAGGGACCCCTCCATGTGTATAGGGACACCTCATACAGCTCTATGGGGTCCTCGGCGCCGCAATAGGATCCCTTTGTCCAGCCACGCAGCTCCCCCATCCCTAGGGACCCCTTCTGCACCCATGCACCCCTGAGGCGGTAAAGGGACCCCTGGGCTCATATAGAGACCCCTTTTACCCCTATAGGGCCCCACAACCCCTACAGGGACACAGGAGCCACAGGGGGGCCCTGGGGACCCCAACACCCGTGTGGGGACCCCTGCGCCCCTAGGGAGACACGGCACACGTACAGGGATCCCCTGCTCCCTAGGGACTGGGAGACACTGGGCGTCACCGGGGAGACACTGGGTGTTACCGGGCTGCACTGGGGTACACTGGGCTGTATTGGGATACACTGCACTCTACTGGGGTACACTGGGCTGTACTGGGGTACACTGGGCTGTACTGGGGTACACTGGGCTGTATTGGGATACACTGCACTCTACTGGGGTACACTGGGCTGTATTGGGATACACTGCACTCTACTAGGATACACTGGGCTGTATTGGGATACACTGCACTCTACTGGGGTACACTGGGCTGTATTGGGATACACTGGGCTGTACTGGGGTACACTGGGCTGTACTGGGATACACTGGGCTGTACTGGGATACACTGGGCTGTATTGGGATACACTGGGCTGTACTGGGATACACTGGGCTGTATTGGGATACACTGGGCTGTACTGGGATACACTGGGCTGCACTGGGGTACACTGGGCTGTATTGGGATACACTGCACTCTACTGGGGTACACGGGGCTGCACTGGGATACACTGGGCTGTACTGGGATACACTGGGCTGTACTGGGGTACACTGGGCTGTATTGGGATACACTGCACTCTACTGGGGTACACTGGGCTGTACTGGGCTGCGCTGGGCTGTACTGGGGTACACTGGGCTGCACTGGGGTACACTGGGCTGTATTGGGATACACTGGGCTGTACTGGGATACACTGGGCTGCACTGGGATACACTGGGCTGTACTGGGATACAGTGGGCTGTACTGGGATACACTGGGCTGTACTGGGGTACACTGGGCTGTATTGGGATACACTGCACTCTACTGGGGTACACGGGGCTGCACTGGGATACACTGGGCTGTACTGGGATACACTGGGCTGTACTGGGGTACACTGGGCTGTATTGGGATACACTGCACTCTACTGGGGTACACTGGGCTGTATTGGGATACACTGGGCTGCACTGGGATACACTGGGCTGTACTGGGATACACTGGGCTGCACTGGGGTACACTGGGCTGTATTGGGATACACTGGGCTGCACTGGGATACACTGGGCTGTACTGGGATACACTGGGCTGTACTGGGGTACACTGGGCTGTATTGGGATACACTGCACTCTACTGGGGTACACTGGGCTGTACTGGGCTGCGCTGGGCTGTACTGGGGTACACTGGGCTGCACTGGGGTACACTGGGCTGTATTGGGATACACTGGGCTGTACTGGGATACACTGGGCTGTACTGGGGTACACTGGGCTGCACTGGGGTACACTGGGCTGTACTGGGTGTTCCTGGGCTGTACTGGGGTACACTGGGCTGCACTGGGGTACACTGGGCTGCACTGGGTGTTCCTGGGCTGTACTGGGGTACACTGGGATACACTGGGCTGCACTGGGTGTTCCTGGGCTGTACTGGGGTACACTGGGCTGTACTGGGCTGTACTGGGGTACACTGGGATACACTGGGCTGCACTGGGTGTTACTGGGCTGCACTGGGTGCACCTCCCCCGCCGGTGCCGGTATCCCCACTGGGGGCGGCCCAGCGGGGGGGGGTTGGGCTCTGTGGGGCTCTTTGTGCTGGTTCAACCCCCCCTGCCTGGGACTGCGGGGAGGGGGCAGCGCAGCCCGGCCCTGGCACCCCCTGCACCCCCCCTGCACCCCCTGCGTGACCCCTGCACCCCCCTGCACCCCCTGCACCCCCCCGTACCCCCTGTGTGACCCCTGCACCCCCTGTGTGACCCCTGCATCCCCCCTGCACCCCCCCTGAGTGAGCCCTGCACCCCCCTGCACCCCGTGTGACCCCTGCAGCCCCCTGCACCCCCCCTGAGTGACCCCTGCACCCCCCTGCACCCCTGAGTGACCCCTGCACCCCCCTGCACCCCCGTGTGACCCCTGCACCCCCCCTGCACCCCCTGAATGAGCCCTGCACCCCCCCTGCACCCCTGTGTGACCCCTGCACCCCCCCCTGCACCCCCTGAATGAGCCCTGCACCCCCCCTGCACCCCTGTGTGACCCCTGCATCCCTCCTGTCCCCCCCCTGCATCCCTCCTCTGTGACCTCTGCACCCCCCCGTGTGACCCCTGCATCCCTCCTGTACCCCCCCTGCACCCCCCGCACCCCCATTCCTCCCTCCTGTGTCCCTCTTGCATCTCCCACATCCCCCTGCGTCCTCCCTGCACCCCCCTGCATCCCTTTTGCACCCCCTCTGCACCCCCCTGCATCCCTTTTGCACCCCCTCTGCACCCCCCTGCATCCCTTTTGCACCCCCTCTGTCCTTCCTGCGCCCCCCCCGCAACCCCCTACATCTGCCCTGCATCCCTCCGGCCACCCTGGAGCACCCTTTGCATCCCTCAGGCAGCTCCCTGCTCCCTTGTGTCCCTTCTGCGTCCCCTATATCTGCCCTGCACCCCCCAGGACCCCCCAGCACCCCCCTGCATCCCCTCTACGTCCATCTATATCCCCCCAGCACCCCCCAGCACCCCCAAGCACCCCCCAGCACCCCCCTGCATCCCCCCTACATCCCTCTATATCCCCCCTGCATCCCTCCTGCCTCCCTGGCCCGGGGGGGCTGCAGCCGGGACCCCCCCGATCCACCCCTGGGGGTGCTGCAGGGGTAGAGGGGCTGCGGGACGGTGCCGCTGGGTGCCCGCATGTGGGTGCCGGGGGGTGCGTGCAGGGGGGTGCCCCCTCGGGAAGCCCCTTCTGTGCCCCTCTCCCGTCAGTGCCCCGCTGCGTGCGGAGCATCCCTGGACCAGCCCCATTCTCCTGCCCCATCCTGCCCCATCCTCCTGCCCCATCCTGCCCCATCCTCCTGCCTCATCCTCCTGCCTCCATCCTCCTGCCCCATGCTCCTGCCCCATCCTGCCCCATCCTCCTGCCCCATCCTCCCCCATCCTCCTGCCCCATCCTGCCCCATCCTGCCCCATCCTCCTGCCCCATCCTCCTGCCTCCATCCTCCTGCCCCATGCTCCTGCCCCATCCTGCTCCATCCTGCCCCATGCTCCTGCCCCCATTCTCCTGCCCCATCCTGCCCCATCCTCCTGCCCCATCCTGCCCCATCCTCCTGCCTCCATCCTGCCCCATCCTCCTGCCCCATCCTGCCCCATCCTCCTGCCTCATCCTCCTGCCTCCATCCTCCTGCCCCATGCTCCTGCCCCATCCTGCCCCATCCTCCTGCCCCATCCTCCCCCATCCTCCTGCCCCATCCTGCCCCATCCTGCCCCATCCTCCTGCCCCATCCTCCTGCCCCATGCTCCTGCCCCATCCTGCCCCATCCTCCTGCCCCATCCTCCTGCCTCCATCCTCCTGCCCCATGCTCCTGCCCCATCCTGCTCCATCCTGCCCCATGCTCCTGCCCCCATTCTCCTGCCCCATCCTGCCCCATCCTGCCCCATCCTGCCCCATGCTCCTGCCCCATCCTGCCCCATCCTGCCCCATCCTGCCCCATGCTCCTGCCCCATCCTGCCTCCATCCTGCCCCATCCTCCTGCCCCATGCTCCTGCCCCATCCTCCTGCCCCATTCTCCTGCAGCTCGGGTCAGGCTGCTCTCTCGTGGGCTGTGGCTGCAACCTGGGCCCCTGGGCCCCCCCAGCCCCTGGGATCTGCTGGGAGGAGCCGGATTCCAGCCGGTCCTGGAAGCATCAGGTGAGGAACATTCGCTGCCATCCATCGGGAAGCTCCTCGGGAGAGGAAGGTCCGGATTAGCGGGTTCGTGCCGGGAGGTGGTGGCAGAGCCCGCGGTGGGGCCTTCCCCTCCGTGCCCCCTGCCCCGAGGATTCCCCTTTTCCCTGTGAATCCCTTCCCTCCCCTCTGCGGAGCTGCTGATGTGGCTCCTGCCCAGCCCGGGGGAGGCTGCGGCTGGAGCAAGGAGTGGGTTAAGCGGGGGCTGTTTTGCCTTTGGCACCCCGATGTGAGCATCAGCACCCCTTCATGCTGCCGGGGGGTCTGGCACCCCAAGAAACACGGGCACCTTGAGCATCCCGAGAGCCCTGAGCACCCCAAGTCCCGTCCCCGTCCCCCCAGCATCCCCTGAGCATCCCAG